AGGTGCCATTGAGTCCGTTCCACCACAGAGTGACCTCATGCAGACCAGAATACATCAAGGCCCAGGCCTGCATCATCCTCACAATTGTTTCTATGCTTCAGCCCATTGGTGTAGCCACAATGTCGAGTCACCTCCTTAAGGGCCTTCCTCTTTCTCACTGTCCTCTACCAAGCATGATGTCCTCCTCCAGGGATTGGTATCATGACAACCTGTCCAAATGATGTCAGATGAAATTGCAACATCCTTGCCTCTAAGGAGCACACTGGCGATACGCTTCCTCCGAAAGAGATGTGTTTGTCCTTTTACCAGTACGTGGTACTTCCAATATTCTACTACGGCACCACAATTCAAAATCATTGATTCTTCTTCAGTCTTCCTTGGTCAATGTCCAACTTTCACATGCTTATGAGACCACTGAAGATGCCACTGCTTGACATGGGTATACCTTAGTCCTCAAAGTAAAATCTTTGCCATTCAAAATTCAAAAGAAGTATTGTGGAGCAGATTTATCCAACACAATGAGTCTACTTATCTCTTGACTGCTGTTTCCATGAACACTGATTGTGGAGCCAATGAAGACAAAATCCTTGCCAACTTCAATCTTTTCTATATTGATGATGTTACTTGTTGGTCCAGTTGTGAGGATTTTGGTTTTCTTTACATTGTTATAATCCATGCTGAAGGTTGCAATCTTGGTTTTCATCAGCAAGTGCTTCAAGTTTTCCATGTTTTCAGTAGGCAAGATAGTGTAACGTGCATAGTTCAGGTTTTTAATAGTCTTTTCTCCAATCTTGATGGCACCTTCTTCTATGATTATTTGCTCGGGGGTGGGGGTGTTAATGAACATAAATATGTTTGCTCAGTGTCAGGAGTCTAGAAGTCTGAACTATGGTTCTGAGGGACGACTTTCTCTCTGTCGGCTCTGAGGGATAATTCTGTTTGCAGCTGCTCTAGCCAGTTTTCCTGAGTTCCTTTCAATCTCCACAAGGTGTATATCTTTCCCTCCATTTGTACTTGCATCTGTGTCTGGTCTGCTCTATTAATACTCAAAAAGGTTTATGTCTAAAATACACATGGCAATTCTATGGTCGCAATCACATAATAAAGATATAGATTTATACTGTGTTAGTCCAGGTAGACTAGAGAAACAAATTCATAGACACTCATATGTGTATAAGAAAGAGCTTTATAATATACAAGAACAATTGAATATTGAGAAAACATCCCACCCAGTCCTTATCAAGTTCATAAGTCCGTTATTAGCCCATATGTCCAATATCAACCTATAAATTCCTCTTCAGACTCACGCAACACATGTAATGACATGAATGCAGGGAGATCACAGGCCAGTGGGTGGAAAGTTTTGTGGACACCGTGGCAATGGAACCATCTCAGGACTGGTGTGGGTCCCCATGGGCCTCCTTCAGCTCCAGGGCTCTGGCATCACTCCATGTGTCTTCTCCACAGCAATGTCTCGCAGAGAGTGAGTGTGTGTCTTGCCTCCAGCGAGCTATTTATCTCTTTAACACCTGGTTAACAGGCTAAACTCCACTCCTTTACTGTTAAGTCTCAAATTAACAACAGATTATGTAACTACCAAAAAAACCTATAGGTATTAGAGATTAATATTTACAACACCTACTTTGGGGTACACAATTCAATACTTACTAATGGAAAATATCAAAACTAGTTGGATATCTGGACATTATCACTGACTGATAAACAAGCCAAGATGGCAGAACATGAAAATTATTCAAAGCTAGAAAATTATTCTGAAAAATTGATAGAAAATATAATGCTGATTCCACTTTAATTTTACAAAATGAAAGTTCTGATAACTGAAAGAAACAAAAACTAGATAGAAGGCACTCGCCCTAACAACTCTCAAATTTTGAAAGCAAGGGAAAAAATTGTTGACCTTTGACTTTTTAAATATGACTTTGGCATAATGCAGGTTGCAGAAATTAATTTTGATAAAGAAACTAATCAAAAATAGATAGAAGAATAGAAAGAATGAACCTGACCTAGCCAGAGCTGGCCACTAAAGCTGGTGATGTTTCAGTGTGGAGCAGCAACAATTCACCAGTTAGCACCAAGCAAATGAGCAAAAAGTAACATGTTTACTACATCTAATAGCATGACTCCTATAGCACAGATTCACATGCATTCCATTTTAGTGTCCTCTCCCTTAGATTTGACCATTTGTACAGTGGAATAAAATACAAAACGAAATCACAAAGCATTCATTTGCTAGCCTGGCATTTTCTATTCTAGAAGATCGTTAAAAATTAACCCATCTGTAGACAACTGGACACCCCCTTACAGAAGGGTCATAAGGAGGAGATGAGCCAGTCAGGGTGCAGGGTGGCAATGATGAAACATACAACTGTTCTCTAGTTCCTAAATGCTTTCCCCACCCCCAATGTCATGATCCCAATTCGACCTTACAAATCTGGCTGGAACAGAGGATGTACACTGGTACAGACGGGAATTGAAAACACAGGGAATCCAGGACAGATGACTCCTTCAGGACCGGTGGTGAGAGTGGCGATACTGGGAGGGTGGAGGGAATGTGGGGTAGAAAGAGGGAACTGATTACAAGGATCCATATATCACCTCCTCCCTGGGGGATGGACAACAGAAAAGTGGGTGAAGGGAGACATCGGACAGTGTAAGATATGACAAAATAATAATAATTTATGAATTATCAAGGATTTGTGAGGGAGGGGGAGCGGGGAGGGAGGGGGTAAAATGAGGAGCTGATACCAAGAGCTCACATAGAAAGCAAATGTTTTGAGAATGATGATGGCAACAAATGTACAAATGTGCTTGACACAATGGATGTATGTGTGGATTGTGATGAGTTGTACGAGCCCCCAATAAAATGATGTTTAAAAAATTATATCTCCTATATAATGTTCAAAGTCTTGAGGAATAACAGACTCAAGCATGACAGCAATTGGGATGGTGGCCTGCACTATGGAGTGTTTTGTTCTGTTGTGCATAAAGTCACTATGAGTTGGACCAACTCACTGGCGCCAAATAACAAAATTACCTTCATAAGATGGACTAACTTTGCTGAGCATAGTGTCTTCCAATTTTGTTCACACCAGGGAAAGTTGGATGTACTCATCATTTTTTAAGATATGCATAATCTCTCATTGTGTGAATGTTGTTGATGTTGGTGTTAGGTGCCATGCAGTAAGTTCCAACCCACTGCAATCCAATGCACAGCAGATGGGAACACGGCCAGTCCTGTGCCATCCACCTAATTGTCTCTACGCTGCATGACTGTTTTAATCCACTTCACGGAGGGATTTCCTCTTTTGCACTGCCCTTCCACTATACCGGGTATGAAGTCTTTTTTCCAGGGACTGGTGTCTGCTGAAAACATGTCCAAAGTGTGTAATACAAAGTCTCCCTGTCCTTGCCTCTAAGGAACACTCTAGACATACTTCTTCCAAGACAGATCAGTTTGCCCTTTTAGCAGTCCATGTTACTTTTAGTATTCATCTAAATTCAAATGCATTGATTCTTCCTCGGACTTCCGGAAAAACCCACTGTCCAAGGTTTATATGTTATGAAGCAATTGAAAATGCCAAGGTTTGGTTCCAGTGCACCTTAGTCCTCAAAGTAACACCCTTGCTTTTAAACATTTGAAAAGAGTCCTTGTGCGGCCAATTTACTGAATGCAATGCACCGTGTGATTCCTTAACTGATGATTTCATGTGCCTTGGTTGTAGTACCAAGAAAGTTGAAATTCTTGGCAATTGAAATCTTTTCTCTATGTGCTATGATGTGACCTATTATTCTAGTTGCGAGGATTTTGGTCTTCTTTGCATTTAGCCGTCATCCATATTTAAGGTTGCAATCTTTGATCATCAACAAGTGCTTCAAGTCCTCTTCATCTTCAGCAAGGAAGGAGATCTCAGGTTATTAATAAGCCTTCCTCTGATCCTGATGCCATTCTTCTTCATCCAATCCAGCTTCTCGGGTGAGTGGCTCAGCGTAAGTGTGGTGAAAGGAAACCCCCCTGTTACACACCTTTCCTCATTTTAAACAATGTACTATTCTCTTGTTCTGTTGCATAATGCCTCTTGATCCATGTGCAAGTTCTGCATGAGCACAAGAAAGTATTCTGGAATTCCCATTTTTCTCAAGGTTATCCAAAACTTGTTATGATCCACACAGTAAAATGTCTTGGCCCAGTCAATAACACACAAGTAAACACCTTGTTTACTTGTGTATTCTCTGCTTTCAGTCAAGATCTATCTGACATCAGCAATGGCATCCCATTTTCTATGTCCTCTTCTGATCTGGGCTGAGCCTCTGGAAGCTCCTTGTCAATGTATGACTGCAATCACTGTTGGGATGATCTTCAGCAAAATTTTACTTTCAGTGTGATAGCAATGATATTGTTCTATAATGTGAGCATTCTGTTGAATCTCTTTTCTTTGGAATGGGTACAAACATGGATCTCTTCCAGTTAGTTGGCCAAGTAATTGTCTTCCAAATTTCCTGGCACAGACTAGCAAGTGATTGTTCATCAGCTTGTTGAAACATTTCCAATGGTATTCCATCAATTTCTGGAGCCTTGTTTTTGGCTAATGCTTTCAGTGCAGCTTGAACTTCTCCCTTGAGCACCATTGGTCCTTGCTCGTGTGCTACCTCCTGAGATGGTGGTATGTCAACTAGTTATTTTTTGTTTCAGACAGTTGTGATTAATACTTGCTGGAAAATGAAGCTTCACATTATTTAAAATTACATCAACATTCATAGAGTCCAAGTATCAGAGGCAGAAGGGTATATTAGGACCACAAGAAATTTTTCACATTTTTGAATTAATTGTATATAGTGAGTCACCAGAAAGGAAAAAAAATTGTTCTTAACAAGCTGAATATGTATGTCCATTCCATCAAAGAGCCTGGTTTATCTTTCTGGGTCTATTCATTTGCAAATGGGAGGAGTGACTGGAGCCAGGTTCTTCATACCATACATTCTCATGTGCTGCCATATCTGCGTATCCTATCTAATTTCATTAAGATGAAGAGAGTCACTCACAGCAGGGCCACCTAGATAAGAAACTTCCATATGGAGGAGATCACATCCTCAAGCATCTTCCATTTCATTTCCTCCTGGTCCAATTTGGGCATCAGGCCATTGATGCGCAACATCGTGGCTCGACTTCAGCAATTCCTGGGGATGCAGATGCTTCTCCTCTTGCCACCTCATGCCTTCATCCTTTCAACTAGGTCTTTTTGGAAGTGTCTAGGTGTAATCTTTCCCTCTTCTCTTGATGCTCCTTGCATCATTGAGTTTTTGCCAATCGAATCTTTCAAGATTGCAACTTGAGTCTTGAATTTTTTCTTGGATTCTCTCAGTTGAGATATGCTGAATGTGGGCTTTTGGTTTTCTAAATCTAAATCTATGTACATTTCTTTATAATATTTTACTTTGTCTTTGAAGCTTCCTTTTGAAATTTCTGTTCAGCTCTTTGACTTCATCACTGTGTGCTTTCATTTCATCTTCCATGTGCTTTAACTACTGTACAATTAAGAGCAAGTTTCAGATCTCTCCTGACATCCGCTTTGGTCTTTTATTTCTTTATTGTCTTTTGAATGACTTTGCTTTCTTCATAATGATGTTCTTGATATCCTCACCAGGTCTTCTGTCATTAGTGTTCAGTACTTCAAATCTGTTCTTGAGATGTTCTCAGAATTCAGGTGGCAAAAACTCAAAGTTATATTTTGGCTCTTGTGGACTTGTTTCCCTTTTCTCCAGCTCTAACTTGAATGGAGGGTCTGTTCCACAGTCATTCTCTGACCTGGTTCTAGCTTCTGACATCGAGTCATGTACTAGTCTCTTTCCACAGATGTCGTCAATTTGATTCATGTTTGGTCCGACTGGAGAAGTGCAAGTATTTGGTATGAACAAGTCATTCAACTTCAAAAATTCTACCATGCAATCTCCAGCTTCATTTCTCTCACCAAATTCTTATTTTCTAAATACTGTTGCTCTTTATCTCCAGTGTTCACATTCAAATCTCCAATAATTATCAAGGCATCGTGATTACATATTTGATCAATTTATGACTGAAGATATTAGTAGAATTCTTCAATGTCTTCATCACTAGCTTTTGTGCCCTGGGGGTGTAGTGGTTATGCACTGGGCTGCTAAGGCAAAGGTCAGCAGTTCTAAAGGACAAGCCAGTACACAGGAAAAGATGGGGTTCACTCCAGTAATCAGTTAGTCTCTGAACCTCTCAGGGGCAGAACCATCCTGGCCCTTAGGGTGGTTCTGATTAGGCATGGATTAGATGAGACTGAGTCAGTCATTTAGTTAGCTTTTGTGGTTGATGCATAAATTTGAGTAATAGTTGTATTGATTGGATTTCCTTGATGGTATATAGATGTGATCCAATCACAGTGTTGCACTTTAAGACTACCTTTGCTATGTCCTTTTGACAAGGCACGCAAAGCCATTCCTCTTGATTGTGTTCTTCCCGGCATAAGTAAATCATATGATTGTTCTGATTCAAAATGGCCAATAACCAACAATTTCAGCTCACTAATACCTAAGATATCGATCTTTATTCATTCTATTGCATTATTGATGATTTCCAACTTTCCTAGATTCATACTTCGTACATTCCAAATTCTGTCATTAGCAGATTTTTACAGCTGTACTTTCTTACCTTGAGTCTTGCCCCATCAGCAAATTAAGATCCCACAAGCTCCACTCCCACAGGCTTTACTCCACTCTTGTCATGTGGTCAACATTTGCTTCTGACACAAGAGACACAATGCTCTGCTTCCATTCATTAGGCCTTCAGTGTCGGATGATGTTTCAAAGACATGCGTGAGATTTTCAGTGACTACTGCTTCTGAAGCGAGTGGCTGGCTTCTTCTTTGTGGTCTGTTCTCTGTTTAGAAGCTCAGCTATAACCTGTTCACCTTGAGTGGCACTACCTGCCTTTGAAATATGGTAACCTAGCATCATCATGGCAACACACAAACTGACAGAAAAGGGGTGGATTGTGTATATGGACCAAAGTCCGTTTATTCACTTCTCCACAGACAGGGAGTTTACTGGATTCCATATATTTTTAGTTTTTCTATGGTCTTGTGAAATGTATAGTTTTAGTTTGTGTGAGAGCAAATTTAATTTATTCAAATAAATTACTCATTTAGTTGGTGCCTTCTAATGGTTGGCAAGTACTCTACAGTGTGACATCAGGATTGGAGGAAGGCTTATTAACAATCTGTGATATGCAAATGAGGAAGACTTGAAGCACTTGCTGATGAAGATCAAGGATTGCAACCTTCAGTATGGTTTACAATTCAATGTAAAGAAAACAAAAAATCCTCACAACTAGACCTACTGATAACACGATGCTAAGTGGAGAAAAGGTTGAAGTTGTTAAGGATTTTCTCTTGCTTGGATCCATAATCAATGCTCACAGAAGCAGCAAAGGACCAAATGACATGTCTTAGTGTGTAAAGCTGCTGTATAAGATCTGTTTAGAGGATTAAAAAGCACGAATGTTACTTAGAGAATGAATACACACCTGGTCCATAGCCTCAGATGCATGTGACCGTGGACACCGAATAAGGAAATCTTGAGAAGAATCAAAGCATTGGAATTATGGTATGACTGAAGAATCTTGAAGTAGCAAGGACTGCCAGAGAACAAACGAATCTGTCTTGGAAGTACAGCTGAAATGCTTTGTAGGGGCAAGATGGTGACACATATCTTACATACTTTGGACATGTCAGAAGATCAGTCCCTGTAGATGGACATCATGCTTAATAAAATAGAAGAGCAGCCAAGAAGAGGAAGACCCTCAAGGAGGTGGATTGACATCGTGGCTGCAATAAGGGGCTCAAACCTAAGAACGATTTGAGGATGGTGCAGGATAAGACTGTGTTTCATTGGGTTGCTATGAGTCAGAACCAACTCTGGGCAACTGACAATATTGATAACTGTATAATATTGATACTCCAAATTTCTCCTAGTCACTGACCCATTGGACACCATGACTGGTAACAAAAACTCATCTTTGATGAAATCCTCCTGCAAGTTTCTTTATCGACCTGAAAAATATCTCATATGGGACCTACTCAGAAAATGATTGACTCCATCATTGCACTCAGGAATGTTTAATTTCACTAAGTGCTGATAGATCACTGAGCAGAATGAACGAAAACGTCCCCAGCCTCTCCAGCAGGCGATGAAGTCCTGTGTCATCACATCTCTATACTTGTCGTTATCCATAGAGCATAATAAATTATCAATTGAGACCTCGTTATCCTCATCTGTATTTTTCTTATTACTAATGAATTCTCATTGTGTCTCCCCTAAAAACTGTCTGTTCATTGTCCATTTTTCCACCGAGGTTCCTGTTTCTATTTGGGGAGTTTAAAAATAGGACAAAGTGACTTTGGGGAACGAAATAAAAGAGGAATCGAATAAATCAGGATGATTCAAAGGCTCTCCTCGTTTGGACGACACACAGGTCTTTAATGGTAATAGTACAGACACTATTAATATATTATCTACCTGCACAAAATGAACCGATGGACGTAAACAGCTTTCAGTCTGATATCTTATAAAGTTGCTAGAAACCCTACAAAAATATTGTAAGAGCAAGAAAGAGGTGAAAAAAGATAAAATTGTTGTCTTTCCTAAACACATTGAAATAAAATGAGGTTGGGAATGCGGGGAGGCTGTGAGGCATATTAGCCTAGTACTGACTCCCCAGTGAAACTCAGGAAGCCTCTATCATTTACGTCAATTAAAAGTGACAGTCTCGATTGGAAAAAGTACAGAGAAATAAAGTATAACTGGTGGTCTCTCACTACTATGGAATAGATTAGATGCCTTAAGTGACGCTTGCTGCGTTTTTGCCTTGATTGAACGGTGGCATGCAAGAGCACAGCATAGAGTTCTTCTCACTGCTCTGCTGTCATCTTTTAAACACTCACAGATAGAAGTTGGTTTCGCGGCCATATCTAATTGTTTTTCAAATTCCTTTTTTTAAGAGCCAATTACATGGGTAACTTGGGGAAGTGACCCAAACTAGTGACCATCTAGTGTCCACTGTCTCATAGTGGGGAAAATGAAAGAGCATCCCTAACACAGAAGTGCAATTAGTTATTTTCTTCCTTTCCCTCACCTGTTCACATTCGGGACAACGCCGACCTCAGGGTCACAAGGGCTTTGAATCTCAGAGGTAAAATTAAATCATTCATTCTCTGTAATGGCTTCTCCCCAGCATCAAACAATGAACATGGGGAGCAGAACTCCTTTTTCTTAAATTGAATATATTGATTACATATGATAGCCAGAAAGGATATTTGAGGTTGTAGGCAGCTCTTTATCTGCTTATAATTTAATTTTATGCACTCAGTAGATGAGTTTTAATTTCCTCCTTTCAGGATCTTATCTAGAGAGACTAATTAATTCATGTCCACCATTAATAATTATATGAGGTGTTTTATATTCGTTGATAAATAAATATTTAAACACATTACATTTATAAGGAGGAAATATGTTTTCTGATATCTGAATTTAAAGATAAATATGACTTTTAAAAAGCTGATTTGCTTAAAATTTATAAGCTATAAAAACTCATCATCTTTTACGTAAAATCAATAAATTACTAGAAATTAAAATATACTATCTTAATACCTTAATTCACCTTAAATTCATACATAGTGCTTTCTTCCATGTGTATAAAAATCTGATTACTAAACATAAGAATAACTCATCACCCTAAACCTATACTATTCTCTCACCGTTAAGTATGAAGAACTGAGAATTGTCATCACTACTGCCTTTAGAGGTTGAATTAAGTTCCATGGTATGTATCTTCAAATCTCATTTTCAGAAGATAAACATTATATTTGTTTTCAGTTTACAAGATAAACCTTGTTGCAGTATATCATGGAAAGGAGAGAAGAATTATTACTTTATTTACTTATTATTTATTTACCTATTTTACTTCATCCTCAATTTCTTTGTATATAATTAGGTTTACTACATTATAGTATCTATCTATCGATATATATAAAGTGGGTACACCAAAAAAAAAAAAAACCCTGAAAAAAAGCTCTGCTGGACGGAGCTTTCAAAGTATGCCTTTTACCTACGAGGCAAAAATCAAGCAACTCGC